TCAGCATTGAGCTGCGCCATGCCCAGCGATGCAGAAAGCTGGAGCTTCAGCACGGCACCATGAATGTAGCTGTGGGGGCAGCAGTGGCTGCGCTCGGCCAGAGGCCTGCTGAGGTCATGCGTGGGAGCAGGGCCTTGACTTTGCTGGGAGGGCTAATAATGAGAGACAGTTGATTGAAAATGAACAAACGCTCACCTTGGACTCTGTCATGGAAGCAGTGTTAAAATTATTAGAACCATTAGATTCATTGTACCCCCTGGACTCCTATAACAAATTTTTATTTCTGAGATGAAAATAGCCTTATTGAAAAATACAATTTCCCTTTCAGAAAGGAACAAAGAAGAAACCAGATACCTCGATTCTAGAGCAGATCTAGAGCAGCTATCCTGAACTTGGGGTCTGAGTGGACTTGAAGGGGCTTATAAACTGCAGAAAATGGTCTGTAAAATTTTGTGCGGACATGTATTTCAATTTTCAGTACATTCTCAAAGGGATCTGTGACCCAAGAAAGAGTTAAAAGGCTGCTAAGGAATCAGGGAAGCCAGCAGTCTTCTACCTGTCTGCAGAAAGCCTTTGCCTTGGAGGAAATATTTGTGTCGCTCCACAGGCGGAGGGGGTGATTGGGTGGAGACACTGCAACACTGGGCAGTGCAGTGGGCAGGATGCCTGGTGAGGAGGTCCAGGGCATGGACGCAGGCCACCTCGTGGAGGCGCCACGGAGTCCCGATTGAGGGGATGCTGAGTGAGAGGACCTCGGGGTCCTTAATTCTCTGATTAAGGACATCCAAAGGAGCAGGCCGAGCTACTTGAAGAAAATCAGAAGAGAACAGGTTGGAGGGTTTCAGAAACCAGTGTGAGGAATCTGAGTGTCCTGCTCGTTTCTGATGCAGCGAAGATGGTGAAGTAGTCAAGTCAGGAGCTAAGTCCCAAGGAAGCCCTTAGAGACTTCGAGAAGAATTATTGGGGTTGTACTGAGGAAAAATGCATTGGAAACCATTGAGAGTCTGGCTGTAACTGGGGAGCAGGACAGGGAGATGGGATTCTTTCATTCAGGGGTGGGGAACCTTTTTTTCTGAGGGCCATTTGGATAGTTACAACATCATACCCGGGCCACACAAAATTATCAACTTCAAAATTGGCCTGCTGTGTTTGCTCAGGCTAATTTGGTGAGGCGTGTGACGTTAGCTGTCATTTTCACGGGCCTTATACGGTCCGAGGGCCAGACATTCCCCACCCCTGAATTGCTTGAAAGTTAATTTTCTGCCTGAAAATACTCAAGTGATGAGTCACACCTGATGGGAAGGCGTGATTTCGAGGGGTCTGTGTTCCTAGCTCGGTTCTTGGACTCTCAAGCCCACTCATCTGCTCGCTGGCAGAACACCTGGAGGAGGGCCCAGCCGTTCTCCGTGGGGAAGGCCTGCGTAATGTGAACAGGGACAGCCATGCCTCCCAGTCACTGCCGTTAACAGGTTGACAGATATGTGCAAATTGTGACTCATTGCTCAATTTGGCACTAAATTAATCTTTCCACGTCGCATCTGCTCAAGTGTAAGCTCATCACCACCGCTGTGTTACTGCTTGTTTGCCTATATTCCAAAGGTAAAAATTAAAGTAATTCGATCCTGCTACAGCACGGAGCGGAACGCACGGTGACGCGTGGGAGGAGAGCACGCTGTTCCTACCTGTCCTCAGCTCTGCACGTGAGCTCTGCGCAGCCGCGGGCTCGGCCTGGGGGCAGCGTCAGGGCTGACCTGCCAGAGAGGGGTGCTGGGCAGCCCCCTGCCGGCCGCCCCGGCAAGAGGGAAGTGCCCTTTCTCAGCACCGCGTTTCTCTCAGCTCTCTGGCGGTGCGTTTGTGTTTTGAAAGTTGGGTCTGCTTGAAAATGAAGTGTTTTGATTTTTTGTTGCTAGGATTTAGATACTGTTTTCCTCAGTTAACGATACAGCGGACTCTTTCTCTTTTTGGCAGACACACAGCGTCACCTGTGAAAAGGACATTTGCGTCCCCTTTATGTTAGGCTTGTGAATGAAAAAGTCTCCTTGAAATTATTTCTGCTTGACAAAAATCTTTGGGTTGAGTTGACTGAGCTTTCTCTGACATCACTGGCTGAGAAGAAAACAAAAATACCACTCAGACCTCTCCCCTTTGCTGAGCCGACGGCAGGTGTTTCTCCTAGGACTCCCCTTCCACCGCCTTCCTTTCTGTGCAAGTTGAGAACTCGTGCAAAAGGAGCCCGTAATGCCAAGGAACACGTGTCTGCCCAGGTGGAGCTCTGGGCCTTACCAAGGGACCCTAGAAATCCACACACCCTGCTTGGTTTCTGGAACCTTCCTTAACTTACTCATTTCCCTATTTTCCTAGCCTACTAAAGAGACAAGTTTTCTAGCAAGTATTTTGAAACCTTCAAGGTGACCGGCACAGGGAGAGCAGGATTTCGAGGTCACCTTCCTACTGAGTTCTGCACGTTCATTTGCATTCTGCTGTCCTGAGCTATGATGGCTATTGATTGAGGATTGGTTCAGAAAACATCCCCTCCCCCTCTCATTAGCATATACTTAGCAGTGACCTCCATTCATACAGGACAGCAGACTTTCGCTTCCTGCTGAGTCTGAATTAACTGGGTGTAAACCACACACAACGGATTTCGAAAAGAAATACGCAAATGTTTCCAGTGACCTGGTGTAAATTTTTTTGTTGTGAATCCTCACCCTAGGATATTTTTTCATTGATTTTTAGACATAGTGGAAGGGAGGGATGGAGAGAGAGAGAGAAACATCAGTGTGAGAGACACATTGATTGGTTGCCTCCCGCACAACCTCTACCAGGGCTGGGGATCGAACCCCGGACCTTTCGGTTCGAGGGCCGATGCTCTAACCGCTGAGCAAAACCAGCCAGGGCTTGACATGAAGTTTGCCATGTGTCTTTCACCATTTCGAGAAACATAAGGCAGCAATGAAAAATGTAATTTCCTCCTTTCTTCATCTTTTCACCTTCTGTAGCATTTGAGCTGAGCACCAAGGTCATATATCATGCAGCTATAAATCTGGAGGGGGACTGTGGGCCCTGAGGTGTGGTTTCTTAATCAACATTTCTTAAGCCATTTTAAAAACCAGCAGAATGAGCCCGGCCAGTGTGGCTCAGTGGTTGAGTGTCCACCCATGCACCAAGAGTTCACTGGTTCGATTCCCGGTCAGGGCACATGCCCAGGTTGTGGGCCAAATCCCCCAGGGGGGCATGCAGGAGGCCACCAGTCGATGTTCTCGCTCATCGATGTTTTATCTCTCCCCCTCCCTTCCTCTCTCTCTAAAATCAATAAATGAAGAAAATCAGCAGAATGGGGCCTTACTTTTAAGAAATATCTCTTGTTCTTTCTGAGCTAGTTTGCTTTTTACTGCTGTATCCCTCTTTATGGTCCTTCCCAGAGATGGAAGACAACTGTTTGTAGTGAATTCATAAACGTCAGCTGCACACGTGAAGAGTGTCAGTCCCCCAGCCCTCTGCCCCAACGCAAGCAGCCCCCAGTGCACCTCCGCTCCTCCGCGCCCACCGCCCTCCCTTCGGACCAGTGATTCCTTCTCACCACTGCCTTCTCTCTCTCCTCTGCCTTCGTCAGCTGGGAGTGCAGAGCTGCACTCACATTCCCGGAGGAAAACCTGATAAGCTAATCAGTAGGATTACTCTCTGACTTTCATGGCTGATGCGTCGTGTTCACTTTTTAGACAAACGGCATTATGTTGTCTGCTGCCTCTCAGGAGCTCTAGGTTTCGGGCTCAAGGCTTTTCATGTTGTGAGTGGAGAGCTAACCTCCCTCTTCCCCAAGAGAACAGAGCTTTTATACGTCCCCGATCTAATGGACATGGAATTTAATTTGTCATATCCAACGGATAGGAATCCACTGCACAGTACTTAATGGATAGTTTTGCATCTCGGCTATTGTATTATGCATCCCTTCTGTGACCAGCGGATTAGGTGCTGAGCACAAATGCTAGTGTGATTTCATTCTCAAAGAATCTGAGCCAGCCCCAGCCCTGTCGCTGCTATGGCTGGCATCTTCACAGTGAGCCCGTGCTGGAGGGAGTCCGTCCATTCTGCGGAGAGAGGGCATTTTTGCAGAATGGGTTCACAGTGTACCAGGAGTATGTGCCAGCTGCCATGCTGAGCGCTTCGGTCAGCTACCTCAGTGATTGTTAAGCCTGAAGAGATACGGGTTCCGTTTGGGCCAGAGGGACGGAGGTCTTCCTTTCGGAGGAATGTCCCCAGGACGAGATGGAACTGATGGAGCGCCTCATACATGTGGCTACAGTGAGAGAAGTTGGCGAGTCGGGTGCAGAGTTCAGGGATGAGGTTTTAGGAGGTGCACAGGATACCAGACAGGAGGAAACCAGGCAGAACAGGAAGTTGTGCAGGGACATGGTAAATGTGCCCACAAAGTATCTGTGTAGATTATACAGTGTCAACATTCAACACCCACTGAAGCAACAGTGTGGTGTAACTTGAATTACTTAGCATCCTGCCAGGAAAACAGGAATGGCTTCAGGTTCTCAGGACAGAAGGGATTTAGCCCAGGGAGCTGGTGGTTCTGGTGGCTGAGATGAGACGCCAGACAGGAGACAGTGAGGTGACCAGAGCTGAGCAGCAGCAGGGAGGGGCCTCTTACACTGACGGGCGTGCAGAGGAGCCTGTGGTGGAGCGCAGTGGCCAGGAAGGTGGCAGAGCTAAGCTCCGACCAGGCCGTGCCTTCAAACGAAAAGGCAAACACTGACATTAAACACACGTTGTGTAGAAACACCAGAGCGGTCACTAAGAGATGGTTGACTGGAAGGCAGGTGGAGGGACGGGGAGTCATTTTTTATAAAAAGCCATGATATCCCATTTGCCTTCTTGAAAATGTGTTTCATTAATGAAAATTTAAATTGGAAGGAGAAGTCTAATACACTGCACACTTGTATTTCTTTGACTAGGGTTCAGTTCACCCACACGTGTTTCTTTTTCTCACTTAGGTATGTTGATGACGTGATCAGCCGCATTGACAGGATGTTTCCCGAAATGTCCATCCACTTATCCAGACCCAATGGAACATCAGCAATGCTTCTGGTATGTTCTGCCTGGCCATCTGTAGGGTCGTGTGGAAGAAAATTGGCCTCAGGATGAAATCTCTGGTTCTGTGTTGTATGCTCTGCAGAGTGGGTGGAGGTCCTAGGTTGATGGTGAATAGCGTATTGCTCTTCACTGGTGTTCTGCAGGTTTAAAATGCCACACTCTGAGCCCGGGCTGGATTTGCTCAGTGGTTAGAGCGTTGGCCCGCTGAGCAAAGAGTCACGGGTTCGATTCTGGTCAAAGGCACATACCTCAGTTGCGGTTCATTTCTGGCCCTTGTTGGGGTCGTGCGGGAGGCAACCAATCAAGGTGTCTCTCTCACATTGATGTTTCCCTTCCTCCCCCCCCCCGTTACTTTGTCTGAATATAAATGGAAAAATATCCTCAGGTGAGGATTAAAAATAAATAAAATAAAAATAAAATATAAAATAAAATAAAATAAATAAAATGCTGCACTTTGAAGCCTTCCGTGTAAATGGAATCGCCCAGCCCATCTAAACCAGAGAGGAAAGATCCTATAAGACCAGTTCACCGGTGCATCAGTTCATGGTGTTTTGGTGAATATTTTGTGTCTTTGTCCCAAAGACAAGAGTAATGCTCAGCTGCTGGGTCCCGCTAGAGACAGCACCCTCTTCCAGCGGAGCCCGCGTGTGTGGAGAACCACTCGTAAAACCTGTTTAAAGAAGCGTTCTGAGACCTCACCACTGCGGCTCCAGGTCCGCGGTGTCTGCTGTTCGCTGTGAGCACGTTGGCCGCAGAGCCCCGCTGACGTTGTGTGTGCGTGAGTTCCCCGAAGACAGGTGTGTTTGGGAACTGCGGTGGGCAGCTCGGCCGAGGCCCCGCAGCCGTGTGCACGTGGGGAGCCCCCCACGAGCGCCGGTGCTGAGGAGCCGCCACGTCTCACAGAGAATGAATTCACTGAGTCGAGGGACGGTTTCTGATGGGTATGGGGGAGTCTTTTACAGTCTCATCGTTTTCTGCTGCCTTGGGGCCTCGTGGGAACAGCCCATACCTCAGCATTTTACTTCGGCAAACTCTTACAAAGAGCAGTCACCCAGCTGCGCTGCTGCTCGCTCCCCCACCCCCAGGGCAGCAGGGGCACGTGCAGGTGTCTGCAGAAAGGAGAAGCCGGCTTGTTGAATGTGTGATGTTTCATTTGTGGGGGGAGAGAGATCAGTGAGGTTTAGCTGGGTAACGTGCTGCTTTTCTTTAAGTCTTTTAGTTAAAGAGCACAGTGAATGAGAGAATGTGATGTTCTTCCAACAGAAAAAGAAAACATTTTGTGTCTGTCTACAGAGCAGGAAATGTTTCTGTCTCCGTTCAGCAGAGAAAGGGTCTCCATTTTAAGACCCTCTAGACCCAGCAGCTGAAACAAATCCTGCGTTCAGCTGTCTGACAAGGACCTCGCGTTAATGAAGACAAAATCGAAAGTGGTTGGTGAGATAGGTTTGTTCGAATCAGTTCTGGGTCGTCGAGCTTCCATTTCATGATGAAGGCAGGAATTCGGCATTGGCGGGAGTGGGCCGAGGGAACTGGATCGTAGGCACACAGGTCCAAGGCATTGGCGTGACTTCCGCCTGGGAAAGCCGGCTCTGACTTCACAGCGGCCTCATCTGCTTTCTCATGGAGCCTGAGTTTTCATGGACTGATGCGAGAGTTTAGGGGCTCAGTTCAAGGGGAATCCCACTTTATATATGCCGTTTTACCCTCGTGAGTGGCCAGTTCAGATCGCTCTGCTAGTTGTACCTTTGGGAGGTGGAGCTTCTCTACAGGAATAGCATCGGCGAGCTGACTTTTCCACGATGCTATTTTATTAGACTGCAGGCCTCTAGGCCCTTTGCTGCTGCCACACCCATCTCTGAAGTTGAAGGGGATTCTCACCTGGAATGACCGGCAGCTGCCCCTCCCCTACCCCCCTTGCTGGTCACCTGTTCCCTGTACTGTGGGCAGCAGGGCCCCTCCACAGAAGACCCGGACAACTGCCGCCCATCCCGTGCTGTGCGCATACAGCCAGGGGTGGGGTGGCCACACCGCACAGCTCTTGTGCGTGCAGTGGGGGTCACTGCCGGGGCGCGTGGCAGGCGGGAAACAGCAACCTGCGAGATGAAAGAACGTCACCGTGCAGAGCCGGCGCTGCGGGCGCCCACCCCCTCCAGGCACCCGGCACCAGTGTTCTCGTTCTGCAAGGCAGTCCTGGGCGCGCAGGGCACTGTTCCCAGCCCCCAGATGCTCGTCCCCACCTGATGCGGCCCATGCTGGTGGCAAGTATGAGCTGCACTACCAGCCACCAGGCCTATCATTTTTTTAAGTGTATCATGTAGTCTGAGATACACAAAGGAACATGTGTAGTGTATGTCGGTTATAGAGCGTGATGAGTGTGTAACCCTAGTCCGGCCTCCACCCAGAGTCCCCACCATCCTGGTGACCATCCTCTGCTCTTCCTTCGGGAAGTGCTGACTGCCACATGGACGTGCGTCCCTGAACCGTGTGCCCTTTGATTGTGTTCAGCCCTGACCGGTATAAAAATGGTCTCCTGCTGTGTGCATTGTTTCTGTGATGGACGCCTGTTGGGGTTTGGGGGCTTTTTTGTTTTTGTTTTTGAATCCTCACCCGAGGACATTTTTCCACTTTTTTGTTCAGAAAGAGTGGGAGGGAAAGAGAGGAAGAGAGAGAGAGAGAGAGAAACATCGACGTGAAAGGGTCACATCGAGTGGCTGCCACCCGCACGACCCAACCAGGGCCGGGGACAAACTGCAACCGAGGTACACGCCCTTAGTGGGAACCGAACCCAGGTCTCTTGGGACCACAGGCCGACGCTCTAACCACTGAGCCAAACCGGCCAGGGCGGGGTTTGATCTGGTGATGTGACCATCTTTGTTGACATGTACCAGTCCATCCTGTCACTGTTCCCACTTTATTCTTTCCCTGACCCTGCATGTTGGGTGGTTTCTGCATTTGCTTTAGTCATGGGGCGTGAGCATTCTGGTACACACACCAGAACCATGGAGCCAGTGCAAGCTGGGGGTTGGGGGAGGACGCTGGGACCAGAGGCACAGGTGGCTTTTTCCAAAGTGCCCTTTAAGCTCTGAAGAGTAGTGGATAGCCCTGGCCGATTTGGCTCAGCAGTTAGAGCGTCGACCTGCGGTCCAGAGAGACCCGGGTTCGGTTCCCGCTTAGGGCATGTACCTCGGTTGCAGTTTATCCCCGGCCCTGTTTGGTTGTGCGGGTGGCAACCACTCGATTTGTCCCTTTCACATCGATGTTTCTCTCTCTCTCTGTTCCTCTCTCTCCCTCCCACTCTACCTGAACAAAAAAATGGAAAAATGTCCTTGGTGAGGATGATAAAAAAAAAAAGAGTAGTGGATAGTGCCCACACTGGGGTGCGCGGGGCTCCAGAAATGGCTGTGCTGCAGTGGCCTGGCTTCCATGATTGGCGTGCTCTGCTGTTTGGCGATATAGATGTCTTCTGTTTGGGCGTGCTAATGTAGAGGGGTCTTTGTATTTTTTGTGCACACACATGGGAAAATGTCATAAAGTCATTGAACTCCAGAGCCCATGAACAAAGGCAGATTTTGCTGATCCTGATTTGGTTCCTCCCTCCCCAGGGGTCACTGCCAGGGAGCAGCAGAGTGCCTCAGGTTCCATGACCTGTCGTTGGGAGGCCCAGGGCATCAGCCTCAGTCTCCTCGTGATACAGAAGGGGCAGAGGGAACACGAAGGATAGACGTGGCACCCTTTAAGGCGATGGGGGTCCATTTGGCTCTTCTAAAGCTGAACCAGCCTATCCTTGTTGGCCCGGAGGTATCAGGGCCTCGGAACCCATCGGAAGTGCAAGAGCTGTGTCTGACCTGGAAACACGTGTGCATCCTCCTCATGGGCACGGACCCGCAGAGAGTGCGCGTGGGGGACAGGCGGGGCAGGGCACTCAGTGAACGTGTGCTGAGTGGACACAGGGGAGACAGATCGCAGCACCCTTCTCGTCCACGTGTCGGGTGTCCATGTGGCTGCGGTGGGGACCTGCTGCTTGGAGAGGAGAATAAGGCATTCATACCAGGTTGATTGCAAAACTGTCAGGACATTTATTGCCGTAACTTCGCCCTGCACCTTTGTGAGTCTCAGGTCATGGACCATCGCTCTGCACTGCGTTCCCCAGCTGTCGTGAGTCTGAGCTTTCAGCCTCGCACCTCAGACGCACTGTGGCTGGCTCTCTGCTCTGTCGGGTGGGGGCTGTTCTGGGGTGGTGTAAGTTAATAACTCGTGATGTGATAAATCCTATTTCCGTTCTTTGAAGAGATGAGCTCAGTCATCCAAAAACAAATCTAGCTGTGTTGATATTTAGTTTCAGTTAATCTACTACCTAACATCCCATTATTAATTTTCTTCAAACAGTCAAAATATTGTAAGAGCTTAACTGAGTCAGAGACTAGAACAAGCAGCTGGCTTCTTTTGGCATTTAAAATATTAATCTACGATTGTGACTGACTCACTAGGTATAAAAATGTAAGAGAAGAAGATGACGCTTCAACCATGATATTTGAGAGATACCTTGATATTATATAAATTAATCTTTATGTTAGATGATTTACAACAGATAACACCCATCTGTCAATCTTTCTAAACATATTTTAACTAACCTTAGTTTCTGGGGCATGTTCATACCTTGCCTCTGAATGACACGTCTTGTTTAAAGCAGACACGTTTTGGTGCCGGGCTGGCAGTCCTGGCTGAGTGCATGCAGGTGTGCGGCTCCCGTGACAGTGCCCAGGGGGTCTCCTGACAGGGTTCGAGGTGGGGAGCAGATCTATGCGTGCGGAGGCCGGGGTGACGACTGGAGCTGTCCTTCAGCAATTCCGGAAGGCCCTGCAGCGCTCAGGATTTTCACATTTTTTGTCACAGCACCGAGTATTATTGAAATTCTTTGTTAAATGCTGCTTTTAAAATGCCATTTTGTAAGACTTACTAGAAAAATCAGCATTTATTTTCTACTTCATTTTTTA